TAATATATTTATAAAATATACATACATTTTAGACATTTTCAAATAAATCTTCATCATTATCTCCAAATGAAATTTATAGCAAGAATACTGAAGGAATGAAAGTCAGATAAACAAAAATTTCCCACAAAGTTCATTATCAGTGATACAGCTAAATTTCCTTTTAGTCATAAAATGATTATAAAAGCTAAATACTTTGCATAACTATCTGTTTAATGGCAAAAATTGCTAAATTTGTTCAATAGAAAAATACTGAAGGTCATTATATATCACTTATGTTAAATATTTGTCTATGGTTTGAGTGGCAAATGAGCTCCACATGACAGCTGAGTGTTGAAAAGGGTACTGCAAGCTCCCAGAGATGCATTCTTAGCATATGAAAATAAGGCAGGGACCCACACCACCTGATTTTCGTACTATTCCAATACATTCCATCCAAAATATCTATAATTCAAGCATTATGAAAGCATTTCAATGACTCAACCCTCAATTTGTTCATTCTGTCAATTTCTGTTGAATTTTCAATAGGATGGAGAAAGGTCAGAAACATGAATATGCTACCATCTGATTGGAAGACAGCTTTGGCTCATTTCTAGGCTAGGTTCATACAGTGCTAGTATATAATAATCTTTCTATGTACAATCTCAGTATATGTGCTGCCGAAGCGAGCACTCTATGTACAATCTCAAGGGGCGCAGCACTGGCTTCCTAAGGAACTTTCAACAGTTCCATCATTTGCACTGTTAGCACATCTCTAGGTTATTTTCCACTAACAGAGAACTGCAACCATGGGCACAGGGAAAGAGGGTGTCTTGGTTTTCAGAATTTCTGTGACATGAGTAAAGCAGACACTGAAGACCTAGAAGGTAAATAAAGCAATAATCGGTAGAACAATAGCTCTGTGGTCATCCATGATGAAACACACCAAGTATGGGCATCTCACTGGGATTTCCCAGTATTGTACCAATGTTAGTTAGCAACACCCTTTCTTCACTTCATGAAGAACAAAAAAGAATTCACCAAACACAATGTAGAATTCTATATATGCATGGAAATACAAGCATTTACCTGGTAGTTTATGCTAGGTTAACTCACTTGATTATATAAAATCTTTCAAACCTGCTCATTAACCAAAGCACAAAGATGAAATATTTTCAATTATCCCTACCACCATGAGAATACTTCTTCAAGAAGTAGACGTACCTATCATCAAAAATTTCAGTACTATGACAATGAAATATGTAGGGATAGGAACGTAGGAATTACCTTAATGGGTGAAATATTTATGGATATAGCATTTGTGGGTATCATTTTATAATTTTATGGATAGAGCCTATTGTATGCACATTTTGGTGAAAAGCTCGACAACGAGAATTTATTTTTAATATTTACATTAGGCTCTGTCATTTGGGGCAAAGAAGAGGAGTATGACAGGAGGCATACCAATTGTAGGGAACAGAGTGGCATGATAGGCACTAACTGCAGATAGTAGGGTCATGAGAATCCCAAAATAGGTAAAGTGGATTTGGAAAAAATTATTAATTTACTGCACATCAAAATGTGTATTCCAATTAAAAAGAGAGCGGCTCTTTTCATCAACATATGATATTAAACTCTTCCCTCTAGGTTTTCAGGATATTCTTCTTAAAGTTACTAACAGAGGATTACTAGGGTACAAAACACTTGTTTTACTGAGTGCTGCTGTTAAAGCAGCTGCCTGAGGCTAACCACACTCTTTGGAAGATTAAAACATAATAATTATGAACCATTTTTTGTTCGGTGTCAGATAACTTGAAGGTAGGAAACAAGGAAGAAAGAGCAGGTTATGTAGGAAGCATGGTTATGTGGGAGTAAAAATGAGTACCACTAAAGGACTTTTGTCTTTTTTTTTAGTCACTGGAAGGTAAAATTTCATTAATATGAAATAATCAATCTGGTACTATAAATATCACATGAATAAGGTGAATTTTAAAATAGAAATTATTATAAAGAAATGCCATTTGCCTTAAAAATAAACAGAATCTCTAATTTGAAGTTAAATCTTTTAGTACAATATTCTCAACTATTCTTCATAAAGGTGAATGTGTAATAATAGCAAGACTTTAGAATGGTACCAAATCTACTTTCAAAACTGTATTACAATATAAAAATCTGCTTTCAAATTAAATATTTGTTCAGCCTTTCTGAATAGTAATGTACTTAACCTATTATTGCACCTTTTTCCTTAATAGGTAAAATGCTTTGCCACGTATTTTATGCAAACAGCTTACAGGGGAGCTAAACTAAAAGCTCATTTTAACACTGGTCTGGTCATTATAAACATTGGGGTTAGTACAGCAAATATAATAAAGATTACTGTTTTGACTACCTAATATGTTAAACAGGGTTTCTCAGGGGAGAAGTAGGTCTAGGCTTCTGCTCTTCTTCTATCATGTCCAGCCATCCAACTTTTAATTATCTACTATCGCATGCCCTGTTTCCTCAATAAAGACAAGCTAAACCTGTATTTGCTCAGGACTGCCTGGTGAATTAGAATAACTTCAGAAATAAAAGTGCCTCATTGGGGGGGAATTTTAAACAGTTTTCAGGCTCACAGATTCAGCTGAGCTTGCAGCAACCTGAACAAACCCTAATTTTAGAAAACAGTATAGGAATTGCAAAACTATACTTTAACAAATGTTTTCTGTGCTCCTTCAGCAGAACAAAAGGGCAGGGACAGTTGATTTTTCCCTGGTCTTCTGTATGTCTTTTGTGCAGTTGATTATTTATAAAGAGCTAGAAGGTGAAGACGATGCATCATGTCATACAAAGACTTTAGCAAGCGCATCAGCTCCAGCACTGGCGATATAGCATTTAGATGGGTGGAAAGCTACATCATGAATTGATTCTTCAAATTTTTTCCGATGAGCCGTGAACTCTTGGATACATGTCTTACTTTCTAGATTCCATAAACGTATTGAACAGTCATGACCTATAACAAAAGAAATTGAAAGGAACAATTATATTAACATGAAAATGACAAGGACAAATACATAATCCATAGTTAATGTACTTACTTCCAGACATCAAGTAGAGGCCATTGGGATCAACTGCTAAACTTGTAACGGCTTCTAGGTGGGCTACCATTGAGTGGATCAGTTTGCCTTTGGAAAAAGAGATTACTTTTAAGGATGATTTTCCTCATTTTGAATATATGCCAGCTATCATGTTACACTGATTGCTTCAGTCATCTCTATATCCTCACTGTATCAGAAACTGTCTCCAGCAGGTAAAACAAAATATAATCATATATCTCTACTGCCAACATGTTTCTCCTTTCTCCTCATATACTGCAATATTGGTATTTGAATAAATTTTTCATTATAACCCTAGTGATGACTGTGGTTCTCTGGTCTAAATGTAACATTTACTCATCATTAGACAGGCCAATATGATTTTATATTGTATAACGAGGATCAGTCTTAGCACCCTGGAATGGAATGAACTGAAACTGAGCCAGAAGAGTATCAGTTTATCAGTGCCTACTCCCTGACTATCAAGCCACGAACAGATACAATTAGGCTACTTTTTGCAAGGAATTTTTTGATTTTGCTTCATCAAAAATGAATTCTTAATACATTTTTACCTGTATTGTTATCATAGAATTTGATGTGTCTATCCTCATGAGCAGTGATACTGATCGGAAGAGTGGGATGACTGATGACTCTATTTATTTGGCAGGAGGAGCTAGACACTAAAAAGGAAAAATTAAAAAGCAGTAAAAATTAATCCAAGCTATTTTTTCACATGCAGAACAGAATACTCACCTAAAAGGATGAAAATGCAAGTAATGTGACTTTAGTTTGCTTTAAATTCATCTATTCTCCCATTCTTTCCATAATTTCAATGTTAGGAAATGAGAACTGCCCAAGCTACACCATGCTGACATATCTAGAGGTATGTAAGAATTAGAACTTTATTTTCTGCTACCTACTAAGGCTTAGCCTAGTCCCAATGACATTTTTCACTCAATAGTTGATATTTTTGCTACTTTAATAAAATGCTATCATCATTTGCATGTAGATAATCTTCATGTTTAAATCTCAGCTCTCTGGGCGTGGTGGTGCACACCCATAATACCAGCACTCAGGAGGAAGAAGCAGGAGGATCGCTTTGGGACCAGCCTGGGCTACACAGTGAGTTCCAGGTCAGTCTCAACTATATAGTGAGACCCTGTCTCAAAGAACCCCCAAAAATCAATCATTATGAGCTCATTTTACATACTTGAGTTTTATATGTAAAACTATATATAATCACATAGTTGAACTACATATAATTATATAGTTGTCATCTAATATAAAATGACCAGGGCCAGGGATTGAGCTCAGTGGTTCCAGCACCTGCATCACAAGCCCAAGGGCCCAAGTTCAATCTCTGGGACCACCCCCCAAAAATCTAAATATAAACTGACCAAAGAAAGCATCTTAACCTTTAAATTTTCTCTTCTTCATTCTTCCTCATGATAACAGAAATGATCATCCTCTGTCAGTCTACCAAGTTTGGAATTTTAAAATAGCACCTTAATAGCATTTTTTGTGCACTCTTTTAAGAGTGTTCAAAGAGATTTTATAATAGAGTGAACCATGAACCAGAACCTATCCTAACTTCTAAGTCTAATGCAACTAAATGGCTTAGCAAATCAGATAACTGTTAAAACTTATTCACAGCTATCACAAGTTTCTCTGGAAGCCTTTTATTAAGAGAGAATCAATAAGAACTTAAGTTTAGTGGGTTAAGAAATTTTTATAAGACAAAGAGAAAAATCCACATAAAGATAACACTTATTTAAGAAAATTTTAAAAAATCATTATGTCCCTCCCTAGGGAGAGGAAAGGATATCCTGCAAATAGAAGACATTATTGAGACAAGTGGCAAAATGTGAATATGAACAGTAACTCAGAAAAACAATACTGCAGCAATGTTAAATTTTCTCATTTTTATCATTTTAATATGCCGTAACAGAAAATGTCCTGTTCTTAGTATATCTAAAAGATACAGGGAAACAGGGGCATTATGTCTCTCAAGTGGCTCCGAATTATATCATATACAGAGAGTGAAAAAGTACATGTGGCAAATGTTAAAAACTAGTGAAGATGGGTGGAAGGGTAGCCAGGAGTTCTTGTATTATTTGCAACCTTTCTTTGTACTATTCTGCAAGTTTAAAATTATTTTACAATAGTTTAAAAAATTAAATCCTGCAATAGGAATTATAAATTTACATTCACACAACAGAAAATATTGCTAAAAATAGCCTAATCTTATTGGATTTTCATGGTGTTCCTATGTGGTTCTTAAAAACTGAAGATATTCTAATGGCAGGTGGTCACCCAGCCTGTTATCTAAATATAGAAAAAAAAATCACTTGACTACATGGCCTAGTCTGCCAGTTCTACTCGATGTGGATAATTTTAAAGAGGTATTTAGCTGTTCAGTTTCAAAATTCAGACTATATATTTTTTTCTCCAGAGATAGCATGTCATTAAGTTATATATTTTGTAATGTTTAGCACGAGAACAAAATAATAAAAAAGAAACATGTTAAGTGACATATATGCTCTGAGAATAGCTTCAATTACTAGAGCTAGAAATGAATACTGTAGAAATCAACTCATGGAAGGAAGCAAAAGAAACTTCTTACATAGAAATCCTGTTAAGAAAGTTTCTCTACTTTAAGGTAAATCAGAGAAGTAGGAAAAATACATAGAACACTAGAAATAAATTGGAGGCCTAGCTGTTTTAACAATGAATTCCAAAACAATCCTCCAAATAGCTGTGACTTAGAAATGATTACCTTTTCAGGGGTTCACAAGTATTAAATACCTTTTTGCCTTTATGAGAAGAAGGGTAATCTATTATAACAACAAACACCTCTTAAATGAACATTTAAAACTCCATGTGAAACTCACTTTCTCCCTGATGTGTGCTTGGTTTGAACCTAAAAACAAAACATACCTGAAACCCTGCTGAATTTCCAAGTATAACAATATAGGGCCACGGATTTAGCTCAGTGGTGCCACCACCTGACTACTAAGCGCAAGGACCCAAATTCAATAACCAGTACCAAAACAAAACAAAACAAAAAAATAAAGGAATGCAAAGTATGACAATAATATACTCTAATAGCAAAAGGATAGGCCAGAGTAGAATGGAATAAAAGATGGCATTATAATGAAAAACAATTATATTTTAGTCCAATAATGCTGCTTAAAAACATTCCTTGCAGTTTTTTTGAAAATGTTTCCAAAGCCAAAAAGTCTCACTACTCTATGAATACACCTCTGAGAGAAAAAAATGGAATCACCTAGTTCAATTTACCTATCTTATGCACCAAACTTTATAACAAACTTATAGTAGTCATTGAAAATCAACGTTTAAGAAATTCAAAGTGGCTACTCTCTGAAAATACTTTTAAAAATGCTCACACCTTTCCCAATTTCATACCGCTTTTTAAATTTTACTACTGTAGTTAAGATCATATATTCAAATGTGATTTTATTTACTAAAACTCTAAAAACTCGTATTTCTTGGCTAAAATTTTCGCTTTTTCTAATTCCATAATCTCAATTTTTATTGTCCTGTTTTTATCTTTTATATCCAAATAGTTCAAAGTTCTATTCACACCAACTTCTCCACATAAATACTAGAGAATATCAGAAGAAAGCAAGGAATAACAGATTAGTAAAAGAAAATGAAAGCCAAAAATAGGATGAGTGAAATTTCTAAAAGGAGGGGCCAGGGATTTAGCTCAGCGGTTCAGTGGCCTGCCTTGCAAGCGCAAGGACCCGAGTTCAATCCATGGTACCACAAAAAAGAAATTTCTAAAAGGAAAACAGGCGATAGGAGGCAGGGGAGAAAGAGAAAGATAAGCAAACAACTATGTGAATACATGCTTGCACATGTACATCTTCACACACAAACTAAACCCATGTAATTATTTTTAAAACTAATTCTCAAATTACAACAGTATATGTGTGCACAGTTTTATCAAGTACAATCTAAAATGCGTGCTTGGATTATGACTAACGACAGAAAGCAAATCACTTACAAAAAAGCCAAAACCCAAAAAGATCTGTAATATTTTCCTTATAACTGATAAACAATTATTTCCTGACTTTCTAAATCTAATTGATGGGTGTGGTGGCACTACAAAGGGAGAACCTGCCTCAAACTGTGCCCGCCCCCCGCAAAGAAGTTACAGGTTTAAAATTCTGAAAGCCATGTGATTCATATTCAAATCAGTATCAAGCTGTATCCAGTTAAATTAATATAAAATTTATTAACAATGAAATAATAAAAATAGATTTTATTTTCTATTTAGAATAAATACTGCCTTCTTCAAACAGAATTGAAAATTATCACTTGGCATAAAATTAAACTTCACAGATCTGCGGAATACTCAAACGCTTTTTTTTTGGTTTTTTGAGGCAGGGTCTCACTATGTAGTTCAGACCGCTCTGGAACTCACTGTGTAGCCCAGGCTGGCCTTGAACTCACAGCGATCCTCCTGCCTCAGCCTCCCAAGTGCTGGGATTACAAGTGTGCGCCACCATGCCTGGCTCAAATGCTAATTTTTTTTTTTTTTTTTGCAGACCAGAGATAGAACTCAGGACCTTGTGCTTGCCAGACAGGTGCGATGCCACTGAGCTAAATCCCCAGCCCTTCCAATGCTATTTTAAATCCATTATAGTTATAAATGTACATAAACTTAACTCACTCTTAATCTGTTGTAAATCCTTATATTCCTTTACGTAATGTGTTCTGAGATTTAAAAGGCACAATATTTTATGGATAGTAGTTGTAATTCTGATTACATTAAAAGCTGATCCAAACACAGACACTGAAAATTGGTATACATACTTGAATCGAGATTGGATTCTAAAGTGAGAATGCGCTGCTGTGTTTCCATATTAAAGATGCTCGTGTATCCTTTGCTGAATGATGCTACCATATGGCTTGGGTCACTGCTCACTAGATCCACAGAGGCAGGAATTCCCAATTCTACAAGAGTCAGAACATATTCAGAGAACAGCAGTGAAACGGTCTACTTGAAAATGTGATCAGAATACAGCAGAAAAAATAAAATGGCATGATTTCTTTAAAAGTAAAGTTTACCATTTGAACAAGAATCAGTTCATAATCATTCACTAAAGATTTCTGGTAATATTTAGCCTTATTCTATTTTACTATCCTTACTTGTTTAGCCTATCTTCTGTTATTCTACTAGTATATTCGCAGAGTGCAAACTTTTATTCTAATAGCAAATAGAAAATAAATATGGACTACAAATTTTGCCAGCTGCTACCTTAAGTGGGGCTTAGAGTGGTGTAATGGAAATTCTCCACTTAAAAAAAATTCACGCCAGGCATTTATTTAGCTCAGTGGTGCCACTGCCTGCCTCACAAATTCAAGCACCTGAATTCAATCCCTAGTACCAAAAAAAAAAAAAAAAAAAAAAAAAATATTCAAGCCGGGCATGTTGGCACTCATCTAGAATCCCAACACTTGGGAGACTGAGGCAAGAGGATCGCTGTGAGTTAGAGGACAACAATCTGGGCTACATACTGAATTCAAGGCCAGGCTGAACTACAAAGTGAGACCCTGTCATCAGCTCTCCCCACAAAAACCATCTTGGGTTGGGAATGTGACTCAGTGGCAGAGAACCCTGGCTGAGCATGTGTGAAACCTTAGGTTTAATCCCCAGCACCACAAAAAAAAAAAAAAAAAAAAAAAAAAAAAAAAATCATGATATTAGAACTCTGTCATTAAACTTACAGAATTTTAAAAAGTAAATTTTAAATTGTTAAAATCACGTAAATACTAAATGCAAACAACTTATTAAAGTCTAAAGACAAATTATAATAACTCAGCAAAAAAAAAAGGTTTCTTTGGGGGGGTACCAGGAATTGAACTCAGGACCTTGTTGTGCCTGCAAGGCAGGTGCAGCACCACTGAGCTAAATCCCCGGCCCCAAAAAGGTATTTTTATTTACTATCTAGAATAGTGAACAGAGCTTATTTATAAACATAATAAAGAGAATAATATATAAAATGAATATAATAATCTGACTTTTATTTGGCTCAATATCTAACTAAAGCAAGCTAATAGTTTAAAAATGTGTGTAGTGCAAAAGGTAAATGGCCAATAAGAAAAAAAAAAAAAAAACAAGAAAAAAGAAAAAGCCAGGCAGGTGGTGCATGCCTGTAATCCCAGCACTCGGGAGGCTGAGGCAGGAGGATCGCTGTGAGTTCGAGACCAGCCTGGGCTACAAGGGCATTCCAGGTTAGCCTCAACTACATAGTGAGACCCTCTCTCAAAAAACAAAACAAAACAAAAACAAAAACAGTGCTCAACATAATTAGCCATCAAAGAAAAGCAAAACTTAAAACTAAAATGAAATAATACTACACATCCACAATGGCTAAAATTAAATAAAATGACAACACCTTACTGATACTGGTAAGCATAGAGAGCAAATGGAACTCTCACACACTGCAGTTAATTGTACACAGTGCCATAACCACTTAGGAAATAGCAACTTTCTTCGTAACAGCTCAAAACTGGAAAAACTCCAGGATCTTTAAGGATCTTTATTGAGAGGTAAATTAATGGATAAATTATGGCTTAATAAACTAGTATTAAATAATAAATAGAAATAAACTGACAATAATTTGCAGAAACATTATAATAAGTAAAAAGCCAGACACAAAAGAGTACATACTATATTATTTCATTTGTATGACATTTTAGAAGAGATAAACTAATCTATCGTAAAAGAAATCACAAGTGTATGTACCTCTGGTTGGAGAAGAGAGGACCTGGATGGAAAGGGCAAAAAGGAGCTCTGGGAGGTTGAAAAAAATGTTCTGTGAGTTACAGGGTTACACTCATTTATCAGTGAAATTTTTCCTAACACCTGTTTTTTTCCTTGTATATAAATTACATCCCAATTTTTCAAAATACAAAATCTGTTTTCTTACCAAGTACTGTGCTTTTAAGAATTACATGTAAGTGAAAAGAATCATACCACAGCAGTATATATGCACTCATGTTTATAGCGGCACAGTTCATAATAGCTCCAACTTGGAAACAGCCCAAATGCCATCAACTGGAGACTGGACAAAGAAGATGTGGTTTTTCTATAAAATGGAGTACTACTCAGCCACAAAGAATGAGAAACTAGAGACATTTATAGCTAAATGGATGCACAATGAGGCCATACTCTTAAGTGAAATAAATGGGACACACTTGAGTAAATACCGAATAGTTTCTCTGGTGTGAAAAACTAAATAAGGTTCAAATAGTAAAATTGAGAGGGTGAAAGAGGAAGAAAATGGCTAAAGGGGAAGTGGGATGAGGAGGGGAAAGGAAATAAGGTAAAATAAATAATGTGAAAAAATGGAAACAAAGTCTTTGTAAATAGGGAAGGGTGAAGGGGGTAAAGGGATGGCAGTGGTATTGGGAAAAAACAAGAACCAAGATATATCATGTAAAGGTACAAGAGCCCAATGATAACTGTAACTGTACTGTTTGCTTTGAATGTACCGATAAACTTAATGGGGGGGGGAAGGAATTACACCTAAGTTGAGAATTCAAACAAGTATACTTTCATTCCTTTAAAAATAAAACCTTCAAATTAAATTTAAATAGCAAGAGTTCATAGAATCATTTGATTTTAGAATGAGATATTTAATAACAGATTCAGCAAAATAAAATTTTAAACTATGTACCTTGATTATCATTAAATACAGTTAGTGCAGGAGCAACCTCAGTTGTTTTCCATAAACGAAGAGTGCCATCTGCTGAGCAGGACAATAAACGCTGATGTGCTGCACTGTAAGCCAGACCCCAAACTGCATCTGTGTGGCCTAGCAGAGGGCCTCTTAGAACAGAAGGATCTATATGACAGCGCAAAAATGCAAAATTAGGAGAAAAAAAATCATAAAGATACTCAGGTTCAAGAGAAGGTAAAACACATAAACAAAGCACATGATAACAGTATAAAAATATGATCTAGTTTATATTATTCTTTTGAAGTGCAGTAATTCAAAACAGAATTTAGAGCCAGGGATTTTAGCTCAGTGGTTCCACCGCCTGCCTTGCAAGCGCAAGGTCCTGAGTTCAATACCCATACCAAAAAAAAAAAAAGAAAGAAAACCACAGATTTAGAAACATACCAATGTAGAGTCTAAATTTTTAAAAATAAAAAGCACATATTTGTCTTCCTTGCTTCCTTTTATCCTTCCATTTATCTAGATTTTATCAAAGTAGGTTGATACAAATAATTTGAATTTATTCTACCTTTGTAGAAATCACAACTCCCTGCTCTCTGGAAAGCAAACAAAGGTCCTTCCCTCCTCTGAATTTTTTTTTTTTTTTTTTTTAATACTGGGGGGTCAAACTCAGGACCTTGTGCTTGTAAGGCAGGCGGCAGAACAACTGAGTTAAACCCCAGGCCCTCCTCCTCTGAATTTCATCAGCACTTGGACTGCTACTTGTCCTACTGTACAATGAATGGCAGTTATTCCTGGGAGTACTCAAGGAGCATGACCTTTATAGCAGACAGGAACTGAAACCAACAGGAATCTCCAAATTCTCACACAGCAGCACCTGAGATGTGATGATGTGTATATTGGACAGGTAGAGGGTTACTATGCAGTTTCATGACAACAGTCAAATTGGAAGCTTTACTGATCTTCACAAAGATTCTATGAAGTGGTGATTTCAAGATGGCATACAGGTTTTAAGTCCAGAAATGCCAATGGTGTTATATGTCTTACATCCTCAAGAATACCATAAAACATTTATTGAAGATACACTGTGTCATACACTATGATCGATACTGGTGCCACACAGATGATTAAGACACAGTCCTACCCCTGTTCTCAAAACACAACATTAGAAGTACAGGGCTGGGGATTTAGCTCAGTGGCACTGCACCTGCCTCGCAAGCGCAAGGTCCTGAGTTCAAACACTGCTACCGAGGGGACAGGGGTGGGGTGGGGAAGAAGTACAGTAATAGTGACAAATACTAATTACCTGGGAAAGAAAATGGGATGAATGAAAACTTCTGAAAGACAGTGGCACCTACAGTATACAGATGTCAATAAAAACAGAATAAAGGGAAGGTATATGCCTGGCAAGGAACAACATCTACAAAATTACAAAAGAAAAAGTAGCCTGATACTGCAAGAAAATTTATGAGAAATTTATTATTGCTAGAGTGTGGCATTTGTGGTAGGGAAAGAATGAGATGAGGACAGCTAATTTATGACAGGATTTCTATAACACATAAAGAAACTTGGAGTCTATCCTGGAAACTATTAAGATATTCAGTTAAGAATTCCCCAGGAGCAGTAGGTAGGTCATTTAAGTATTTAATAAGGTAACCTTGGCATGGTATGGAAGACAAGAGAAACAAGATAAAGGCACTGCTTGTTAAAATGGAAGAATGATGATAAAGACCTAAGGTAAGGCAGTGGATCATGGGCCACAGCCGAAGGAGTAAGTTTAAGAAATGCCTAGGGAGTTATACTAAACAGCACTGGAGAATAAGCTGTGGATAGTTGTGTCACGACAAGGAATCAAGGAAAACTTAACATTTCTAGTTTGGGTTAGGTTAGTTTTCTAGTAGTGCCACCAAGTAAACAAGAAAAAAACACAGAACATGCTGGGATTTAAGGACAAGCAGACAACCATATTGAAATTTCCTAGAGACATTGTGGAGCTTAAAAGGATTTATCACTCAACAGCCCAGAAAGCCAGCCATGTAAGTCCATCAATCTTCCAAGGAATGCACACAACAAAGAATGAGTCTTTATAAGTGACACTGTTTAAGGCAAGAAACATAAAAGGACTCCACAAAAGAGAGAGCAGAGAAATCATCACAAACTGTGAAGACAATAAAAGACAAATTTCCAAAAGAATAGGACTCAATATTTTTTATTACAGTTGATTTATCTACTAAAAATAAGGACTTTAAAATATCCTTGAATTGGGCAATTTAGACAGTCACTGAAAATATTGTTAATTTTTATCTATCTATCTATTTGTCTGCCTGCCTGCCTTCCTGCCTGCCTGTCTGTCTGTCTGTCTATCTATCTATGTATCTATCTATCTATTTTGGTACCAAGAATGAAATTTAGATCTTGTGCTTGCGAGGCAGTCGGTGGGATCACTGAGCTAAATCCCCAGGCCTTGGTTAAATTTAAGTGATGCTCCTAGAAGTCATAATGCAGAAGAATGATCCAAGGGAAAGGACATGAAAGTCTTAGCCTAGTAATTATGTTTTCTACATAATTTCATCAAAGAAATACAGATGATGAGGAAAGAGACTCCACAGATGCTAGAGAGGGAAATGGAGTCAAGATACATGCCATTCACTCACCCAGAATTTACTTAGATGCTGAGGGGATGGAGAAAGAGCAGAGAGTATAAAGTGCTGGTGGTACACACCTGTAACCCCAGCACTCTGAGAGGCTGGGGCAACTTAGTAACTCGCAAGACCTTGTCTCAAAGTAAAATAAGAGGTGCTGGAGATGTGGCTCACTGTGAAGGCCTTGGGTTCAATCTCTAGCACTGTCGCCCCACAAAAAAAAAGTTGGGGAAAGTTTATTTCTTACACTTAACGTTTACTCAGTTTTAGTGGTAAAATCAATCTAAAGTGACAGTGAAATTAAAACAGGCTTTTATGACAAATATGATACATTACACCTTCTGGAATTTAACAGAAAGCCAAAACAGCCAATTCCTAAACAGTTTTCATAAGAGACCTTATGGTAACATTTAGTGATGGATCATAGTATGAATTTATGGCTTTTAACACTACTCACAAGACTAACAGGTACTTAATTCTTGATGCCTTTAAAATATTTTAGTTGGATGAGCTTTACTACTTATTACCCTATATATTCCTTAATGACTGATTAAGGGAACAATGTCAACATTCATTTTCCTTTAGTTTTCTGTCAAAAACAGTAATGAAAAATGATTGCAGATTAGTAATTTTGTATCACATGCCATATAAATGTCTAAAATAAGAAAACAATTGTCAATCAGGCCAGTATTTCTGATTAATAAGACTTCAGGGGACTGGGAAATGTTTTCTAAAGAAGAATATGTTTTCCTTTCTGTCAAAGAGATTCGTAATAGAAGTTCTTTTTAATTAAATAGATATTCTTCTTTTTTACATATTTAGACTCAAAAACACCTGATTTATCCTTTATGTAATGTGCACTCATGTGTAAAGAGAAGATACTTTATTCTTTCAGAGCTCTGAGAAAGCACGCACCGTAAGAGTCATAGGGATCGATGTTGGGGTTAGTGGTGTTCCAGCCCTGGATGAGTCCGTCAGTACCACCACTGAAACACTGCTCACCACTGCTGCTCATTACCACACAGAGCACTGGACCTCTGGGATAAGAAATAAACAGCTAAGTAAGTAAACCGCTAGTCTCAAAAATCAACCCTACAACATGATTTGCTAAAAATAAGAATGCTTAATTACTCAATGGTTTTCTATTTTTCTGTTTTTACAATGAATAAAACATTATCAAAATACTGTTCGTTTTTCTTTCTCTGATAAAACCAGAGGTTGGTAAACTATGGCCTCCAGGCCAAATGCAACCAGTAGTCTGTTTTTGCAGTTACAAATGGTTTTTGTTTTTAAAGGGTTCTGACATAAAAAACAAGAATATGTTACAGAAGGACTTGGGTTCAACCCCAGGACCAAAACCAAAATACCACACAATATAACACAATGCAAATCAAAAATATGCAACAGAATGTACATAGCCTAAAAAACATTATCTGACCATTTATACAAAAGTATGCCAATCTCTGTGCTAAATCAAATGAACAAACAGGTCCCATATGTGTGTGTGTGTGTGTGTGTGTTTGTGTGTGTGTATCACAATAAAGATCTCCTTAGGCGGTACTAGGGACAGAACCCAGGGCCTCACGTGTTCTGGGCAAGCACCCTACCACTCACTTAAGATTTGGTCTCTGAACATTTCTATGTATGTTACATTTAACCGAAAAAAACAAATTTAACTATCTCAACTTTATTTCTAAAATATATAGACACGCCCCATTCAAACATCATAAAAGTAAAGACTTTCAGCAAAGATCCCCAACTTGGTCCCCAATTTTTTTTAGCATATTACCTGTTAGTTCCCTCTATAATCACCAAAAAACACTATTAAGTATAAGAAACACATAACAAAATACACAAGTGAAAGGAAAGAAAATCAAATATCCCAATCAGATCATTTTTACAATCATGTTGGTTTAAAACAAAGAAAAGCCACACACTTACTTATGAGCCCTGAATGTATAGATGGGCTCAACATCAAGAGAAGTACTCCTAAAACAAAAGACAAGGTTCACATTATCAGTAGTAAATAGAAGAAATGTGTTATAACAACTACTTTTAGAAGTATGGACACTATGGTAGTAAACAATTCTCAACTACAGTATACATAAGAAAGCTCACCCAACTCCAATAACATTTCCAACATGTCAAGAAACTAGCTTCTTTTTCAGTAATAATAGCTAGTCACAATGCTTTTAGCTGTGACACAATCTATTTGACTAAAAAAGAAAACATGGGCTTTGAAGGGATAAATCTCTGAATTCAATTTCCACTTCTGTCATTAACTAGCTAACTTTACCTAAGTTAGTCTATGACAACTTCAGATTCCTTCACTTTCAAAATAAAGGAGAAAAATGGAGATAGGAAATAAATACTATGAAATTAAATGAGATTCTACAATTTTAAAAACAGCCTATAGGACAGAACCATGCAAATAGGATTTCAACAAATGGTATTTAATTTCCTAGTCTTTTCATGAAGGCTAATATGCCTATCCTTAATACTGAGCAAAAGCCAGGCTTGGTGGCGCAGGCCTGTAATCCCAGCATTCGGGAGGCTGAGGCAGGAGGATTGCTGTGAGTTCAAAACCAGTCTGAGATACATAGTGAGTTCCAGGTCAGTCTCACCTGCATAGTGAGACCCTGACTCAAAAAAACAAAAAAAAAACCCCAAAACTGTACAAACTAAGTCATTAGTTTATTTATTACTAAGAACACTGTAGGCACATTACATTATCTAACAGGCCATGACTGTTAATGGAAACTGGATTTAAAGTCAAGTCCTTACCATTTTCTATGCATGTGTTGAAGTTACTTATAGATCTATTATCTCTCCTCATCATTTCCAAATTTTAAGTTTAAAGGTAAACAAGTCACTGTTACTTACATATGAAGGTTATTTTTTTACTATGACACCACCAGCAAGAAATTCATTTCCGTGGTTTTGTAAATTTTAGTCAAGAATATATAATAAGCCAGTCATACTTCTAGGTTCTTTAGTGTGACTGTGCTAGAACTAGCACACTGTGACCAAAGGACTAGAAAAGCAAAAGTCACATCGTATAAAAAGAATCAAATTTTTCTCTCCTGAAAATACCAAGTCTGTATGGTTTTACCAAGATCTGGCTGTGCTATCTGTTGCAAACTGTTAAATCAAGTGTATTATCTTCTCTGTGTACAACTCACAGCATGAATACCACTGACCTAAACTGCCAACAGATTTCCTCTAGCAGAAGTAAAAGTTCTATAATCTTTTTTCATTTGATATTTAGTTGCACTCTTATAATAAGGAAAGCCAAGACTGCACAGAACTCCCTGCTGGCACACACTGGTTCTGGAGCATATGGTCCAAGGAAGGAAAAGTACTCCCATAATGACCCCACCAGTCAGATGAGTCTTGCCTGACAACTGGTAAAAGGGTTTATAGTAAATCGTGTCTCTTGATACTCAGAAACCGAGGCACCAAGGCAAGGACTCACAGGTAAGTAAAGGCAAAAGCAGTGCCTGTCAGTTCTACACTTGAAGGCTTAGAGACAAAAGATAAGAACAAAAAGAAGTCCCCATCTCTCCTAATCAGCCTTTTTCTCTTCCACTGTATTTCAAAACTTAGTAAAAAATGGAATAGAAGTTTAATCATTTTAAACATGCCTATCTGTACCTGTTTATAAAAGGAGAAATTTTCAGTAGAGACAAGGCACTCCCTAAATGACAGCCATTAAAAACACCTCATGCAAAAGGACTGTAATCAGCATTCATAAACTCTGGGTAAATCATCAGATAATAACATGTTTTCCTATATGTCAGTTTTCCAACCTACCATTAGACTGTATGAAGGAAAAACACCCTCAATTATGTGACATGGTAGAGAAAGAACTTGAAGAAAAATTGAACAGTGATAATTACATTTTTTTCTGCTAAAAAGCAACTAGAATATTCAAATAAAGGAAGAATATTCTCACTTTTTAGCTGGGGCTGTTTTCTGCAAATTCCACATTTTCAATGTGTGATCCTCTGATGCTGTTATCAAAACAGGCTCAACTGGGTGGAAAACAAGGGCTCGAATGCCATCAAAGTGACTTCTTAAAGTAAACTTAGGGTTCCAAGTCTTCCTCAATGCATCTTTATTATTTGCTATCTGTTAAAGAGACAAAAAAAGATTTTTGTACATTTAGTTCAGGATAAGACAAAAATCCTTACACTCCAACATTAATTCTTACTGACTTAAACCATCACACTGTGCATTCAAAACAATCAATTTTTAAAATGTTAAGTAACTAAACCAACAGGTAAAATTAGCAGGGGTTTTCTTTGAAGAATAAAGAAATGTATAAGATGAAACTTAACATAATTCAATATAAAAAGCAGATCAAATAGTAACAGATAATACATCTTTGCTAGTATTACAGTTCAGATCACGCATATCCCACAGAGGTCGACGTGCTGAAGTCTTGGTTGCCACCTGTGGCACTACTGGGAGGCAGTACAATCTTTATGAGGTTGGACCTAATAGAAAGACCTAATAGAAAGATCTGCTTTTGAAAGAGATATCTGGACCACGCTCCCTCTCCTTCTCTGCTTTCAGGCCAGCATGAGATGAACAGCTTCCTCTACCACATGCTGCCACATGATATAAGCTGGTCCAAAAGCAATAGGACAACTGACCATGTATTGAAACTTCTGAAATACTGAGCCAATTGGTTATCTCATGTGTTTTGTCACAGTGACAAAAAGTCAACAAACACAATTAGGATGCTTTTAAAAACAAGCAATTCAATCTAAATTATAGTATAGACAGTTGTATTTGTTTTGTTTCGTACTGGGGATTAAACCGAGGGTCTTTGCAATGAGCTACACCCCAGTTTTTTTGTATTTTGAGACAGAGTCCTACTAAATTGCTAAGTTGCCTGGGTTGGGCTTGAACTTGTTATCTTCCTACTTCAGCACCCCAGTGCTGGGATTACAGGTGTGTGACACCATTCCTGCTAGCTGAAAAGTACAATTTTGGGTAAAAGGTGAAAGATTAAATTAACTTTAAACCTGCTAACATTTTTAAACACAATCATACTTTTGAAGTTTTCAATACTACCTAATAAAAGCTAAATTTTATTCACTGAACTATAAACAAGGTTTATAAACTAGAAATAGGAAATGTTAAAAACAATCATATTACAAAAAATATATTCTGTTGGTAAAAAAAAAAAAAACAAACCCATTTTGTTCTTTTCTGGTAACTTCATCTCAACAACTGAAAAAACATACAACTAATACAAAAACTGAAGTAGCTGTTATTTAACTGTACACTAGCACTATGTATGACATCTCCACCTTCAAAGGTTAACAATCACACCAGGTATAAACAAGAGTGGGGTAAGTACTGGTAATACATTGGAGAATTATTACCATAAAATGACAAGGAAAACAGCTATACTAACAAATATTTGCTATTTTGAGCATTATTCAATATTTAAAACATTATTCTAAATACTTCAAATGCATTGACTCAATCCTCAAAATAATTATGAGCATTATCCTCACTTGATGAATCAGGAAAAGACACACTTCTCATCTGCCCAAGGAACCCTGCCTAGAATCAAACCCGAGCAGTTTGGCTACAGATGTCACAATCAATATAAACTATACTATAGAATCCAGAAGTTAAGAGAGATACAGAATAAATCAGATAGGATGTGTCACAGAGTGATAAGAGATCACCAAACACATCATGCAAGGAACTGCCACTGTAAGAACTGAGGTTGGTTATTCCAGAAAAGAAAAATTAAGTTCAATCATGTTTAATCTTGTTTCAGCAGCTTAATAGTTTTCATATGCAGAAGAAATGAAATTCTTTATGAATGGGTAGGCAGCCACCAAAATGGTTCCCAGTCAGCTCCACTTCCTCATACTTACACCTCATTAGCACTCTCTGAATAACACAGGGTTGGTCTATGTGTCCAACAACATACAGCAGAAGTGATAACAACTTAACTCCAAAATGAGGCTATGAAATCATCTGTCTTGGGTGCTCTTTCTCTCTTTTCATATGTACTCATACTAAGAGAAGGCACCTTACTATGTAGAATAGGCCATGAAAAGGCTTGGGAAGAATCAGGGCCTCTCAACAACTAAATAAAGAGCTTGGAAGATTTCCACAGCTCAAGTCTTCAGATGAGATTACAGGATTTGCCAACTCTTTGAGGGGTTAGTAGACAGAGAACAAAAGTTATCTAATGGGAATTTCTGCTTCTTTTCATGATGAGCTAGATAATTTGGATGACTTCTGTACTAATTACAAGTAGAAAACCATATAAAACATGGAGAACCAACAAAATAATGAAGAAAAACCAACATGTCAAGGAAAGGACACAGGCCTAACGAGATAAACCTTATATTTGGGGTTGTTTGCTCTGAGAGGTGTTTACTGATTTTGCAAGGATGGGTGAGAGAGACAAGCAGTGCTTTTGATGGCACTTCAGTGTCGCAGGGATACAAAGTGGTACTGAGGACCTGCCAGTAGAGTGGGGTTTGGTGAATCACTTTGCTTTGGGTTAAGATTTCAGAGGGTTATATCCTGAAAATAAAGGTGAACTGGAAGAAGCCAAGGCCCTAGAGGGACTGCAGATAATCTTTAGATCTCCTCAAGAATTGAATATGAACTGTAGTGATTGCAGGTTTCTAATAGCTGTAGACATCTGAGAAAAGAAAATTAAAATATATATTCTGCAGGAAGATATTGCCATATGTCTGAATAATAGTTATTTCAACACAACAAAAATCATGCATATAAGGAGCTAAGACAATATAAAAGTAGAAACAATACATAATAGTATTACAATTAGTTTCCAACTTTAATCATGCTTACAATATTCAAGAAGATAAAAGATTTTAAAAACTGGAAATTTTAAAATAACAATAACGAATGACTCTAGAAGCAAAATGTGTAAAACTCAATACGTGAGTTTAACTATAGATCAGATTATAATTTCAATGTTAACTGAAAACTAGATGAGTTAAAAAATTAACGAAAGAGCACAGAAGGCAAAGGCTACAGAAAGAAAGTATAGCACACATAAAATTAGGTTTCAGAGGGAGGAAAAAGAGGTAGGTACAAAAACAATATTTGAGAAATTTACAAAATTAATGAAAATATAGACCCCTGAAGATCTAAGAATTTCAAGAAGTTTAAATAAAAGCAAACCTTGCCGGGGATTTAGCTCAGTGGTTCAGTGACCTGCCTTGCAAGCGCAAGGACCCAAGTTCAATCCCCGGTACCAATAAATAAATAAATGAACGAATGAATGAATGAATGAATGAATGCAAACCTTGCCAAACAATAAAGAAATAAACAATATCAAAGAAAATAAAATCAGACTACCATTAAATGGCCCAAGCAGAAATTGTGCTTTAGTAGAAAACTTAAAAAAAGACAATAATGTTTAAAATCCAAAGAGAAAAAACACTTCTGCTAATTAGAGATTCAATGTGATATAATAATTAATCCACTCAAGCTAACCAAAGAATTTAAGAAAATCAAACACTGAAAAAACGGCACCAGCAGACCTCACTAAAAAGAAATATTAGAAGAATTCTTGGGTGATCCTACCTGGATGGGCACACGTGCAGAAAATAATGAAATAAAGCAAAATATGTAAAGGATGAATAAATTAATGGGTGACCCTAACTGAAAACAGAGTATATAAATAAATGAATCAAACAGAAGATAAATATATATATTTGGGGGGGGGTACGGGGATTGAACTCAGGACCCTGCGCATGCAAGGCAGGTGGCAGAACTACTGAGCTAAATCCCTGGTCCGAAGATAAATATATTTAAATATATATAACAGAATGACACAGTAGTACAGTAGGAGTTAAATAAGAGTTAAATATATTCTTAGGTCTTTGCATACAAAATTTTTAAAGGTTTTGTAGAAAGGTAGCCATTAAAAAGTGCTAAACTTTGGGGGGTTGCTGGGGATTGAACTCAGGATCTTGGACTTTGAGCAGAACCACTGAGCTGAATTCCTGGCCCAAGAGTATATAAACTTTAAGTACTAGAAGAGTAGAGGTTTGAATAATAAATATAATCCCCAAACAGTCCAGAGAGAGAGAGAGAGAGAGAGAGAACACAGGATAGGTGGCAAAATAGATGGCAGACTTAAAACCAAATATATTACTAATTACTTTTTAAAAATGGACTGAATTGCTCCATCTAAAATTAAAGGTTGTCAAAAATTAAATGAAAAAAGCAAGAATCAACTAAATAGTGTTTTTTAAAGATAAATGTAAAATATGAGAATATAAAAACATTAGAAACAGAAGTCATTTAAAAAAAATCTTTATCACAAATAATGGAGAGGAGTGCCAAGACCCCATAGATTAGAAGATTATTACACTAGCTCTGGATGAGGAAAAAATAACCAGGATGCAAAGGGTGAAGTGCCTGTACTTCAGAACCTGTACGATGGATTTACTACCGGAATGAACACAGAGCTGGACTTCTGATCTGCAGGAAGACAAGCAGGTGATAAGAAACACTTCATTATCTACAGAATGGTTTGCTCAGGCATCTGTCCTACATGCTCCAGACAGCGAGGCTGCTATAGATGCGACACCATTTCCCCAGCAGAGAGGAAAAACTATCAAAGCGGAAATATTTTAACAAAATGATAAGACAGATTATAAATACTTTACCTGTGAAATAAGCAACTAGAAATATATTTAAAAAACAATTGTGCTTAGAATTAAATAAATGTATACATAAAGGTACAAAGATTACATTTTTGTTTCACATCTCTGACGGGTCAGCCTTAACATCTGGAAGGTATCTGGTATAAATCCATGCCTAACAATAATTAAAATCACTTCTCAACAGGACATTGGTAGATATACTGGAAAGGCAAGAGAAATACTGTTATTAGAATTTCACATAATCACTAGTACACTAAAACAAAATCCAAACTTGGTAGTGGAAAAAGAGAATTCTTTCCCCTATCTAAATATGCAAACTATCCTGGCTGGTGGATTTAGATAAAGTCTGTAATTTTAGTCCAGAGCTTATCTTCATATTTTCAAAGTTTGCAATTAAAATTGAACCAAAGCCTACCCTTACAAATAGGTTTATACCACTGGCATTTTTTTCTATAAAGTCCACATTTTATTTTCAAAAACTGAGTAAGAACATAAAAGAATAACACTACTACATACATCGTAAGCTAGTGAATCTGCTTCATTGGCCACAGTGAGGCCTGCTAATTCTCCAAGTCCCAGTTCACTTTCAAGTGCTTCATCTGCTCCCATGATGAATGACTTCCCAGAAGAAGGAGGAAATGTCAGGGCTTCCACTAAAAAGGAAAAGACAAAGGAAAAAAACAAAACAAAAAAATCTCTTAAAGAGTCAACCAGTAGTCTCATATGCTTGTGTTAAACTTCTTATAAGGATATTCATTCTAAAATAGTTTTAAACATAATAAAATTCAGTGAGCAGAAAATCTTGAAGAGCTAATTGCTTTTTCCACATCTTCTCCACAGCTAAAGGCATCATCTAACTGGAAGAGTAAGACATGAAACAAATCTAATAGTTTATTATCCTTTCCCTTTCACTATATAGAAAAAAGGCACTAAGAAAAGTTTTCCCACTTGATACTTCATGTTAATTGCCCAATAACATCTATCATTTAATATATATGAGGAGTATTTCTGAACATTGCTAATCTCATTCAAACTAAAATTAACTCTATAACCTAGAAGATCACAGACATTTTCAAATAAAAGTGATTAAAATTATGAAATGTTCCCAACACAAAATTATTATATAGTGTTAAAAGTCAGGATTATCTGGGAGGCAGGGAAGCGGCAGTAGTCAGAAAAAAGGCAACATAGGCAGGACTCCTAGGGCCGTGGTAATGCTCTACCTTATAACCCAGGATGGCGGCACAGATGGGTGACAACTCTGACTGTGCGATAATTCAGTGAGCTAGATCCATACAACTTCAGCACTTTTCTGTAGGCGATAGTTTATTTCATTAAGAAAATTTATGAAAAATTCTTTTAAGTCCACTTTCATTAGGTGTCAACTGTGTTTGAAGATAGTTTTATTTTATAATAAACTTTAAAATTCTTGCTTTGTAACCCTGAATACAGCAGTTCAATTCCTTCAACAACCATCATATGCCAGGTGTCGGGCACACATCTGTAATTCCAGCACTTGGGAGGCTGAGGTGAGAGGATCAGACTGAGGCCAGCCTAGGCTACATAGAGAGTTCAAAGATAGCCTGAACTACACAGTGAGACTCTGTCTTAAAAAAGAAAAAGAGGCCAGGGATTTAGCTCAGTGGTTCCACCGCCTGCCTCGCAAGCACAAGGTCCCAAGTTTGATCCCTTGTACCCAAAAAAACAAACAAACAAACAAACAAAAAAAAAAAAAAAAAAAAAAAAAACAAAAAAAAAAAAAAAAAAAAACAAAAGAACACATCAAACAACTATCATAGAAGAAACCAGTTAAAAGTCAAATTAAAATAGATTTTTATGTGGTCAATAATAAAATGTCACTCCTTATAAGTGAAAATTATTCTGACAGAGAAAGTCTATGAATTGTTTTCTAAATGTGGTTACTTTATTGATTGATGACAAACATTTATGAGTAAATTAGATGAATTTAATAGTTCAAACTCAATTTCTACTAGAGGTAAATTAACTTTTCCCTAAGAGAAAACTCAATTGTATTAATTAGTTCATGTAGAAAATTTAATTTACAAGATGTTTTCCAGCACTATATCCAATCATATCTAATAATAAATATTTGTTGAATAAACAAGTTACTTGCTTTTCAAAAAAGTGGCAGATACTACTGAAAATCCTTGTCAGAACAGAAGTCTATATTCTAAGACATTATCAAGCCACTGTAAAATATACCAGCAACAATGAAAACTGAGCTACCCAAAATGCCATACATCAAATGAGAAATTCTCTAAATATTTACTAATATAGAGTGGGGATTTTAAAAGTCAGAACAGCAATATTTCAGGCCAAAATTAAAAACAAATGACCCCTAGAGCTAGGTCTTCATAGGTGATGATTGCTTGTCTGTTTCCATTTCTAACACTTAAAGATAACTTTGTTCAGATGTGAGATTAAAATGACTTAAAAAAAATATGCTAAAACTCCTGGGAATGATTACACAGAAAGTGTGAGCCAATTTAACTAGCACTCTAGAAATGGCTATGTAAAACTGGAAAACAAGGAAAGCCACTACCTCCTCACACCCCAGTGGGTGGTCAACAGCTTTGGAGGCTGAACAGAGTGCAACTGTGGGAATCAATGTCATTTGTTCTCTATGGCCTTAGAATTTGAGATTTCAGAACTATTGGCTCTTCTCAGCTTTTATTAAATTACTTAACCGTGCCTCTTAAATATGAGACTTTAAAGTAACGTAAGCACAGAGCAAACACAAGCTACCAACACTTTTTCTGAAAGTGGACTGAAGAACAAGTAGCATCAGTCACAGGCAATTAAATATTCAATCTACTCTTTCTCCCTCCTCTGCCATCTCCTTCTCTTGCTCTCCCCTGTCCCCAGCCCATCTTGAGGGGATGGAGCCCCAGGCCTGTGCACATGAGGCCAGAGCTCTACCACTTAGCTATACTCACACTTCCAGCCCTATGTATGATTGTATAAAACGAAACAGAGGGCCAGGGATTTAGCTCAGTGGTTCCAGAGCCTGCCTCACAAGCACAAGGGCCTGAGTTCAATCCCCAGTACCAAAAAAACAAAAACAAAAAACAAAATAGAATTAATCTATAAAATGACTAATGTAAAAAGTGTATGCATGTAGACAGGGACTGAAAGGAAAGAAGGAAACAGTAAATGTCACAAGACTTTCAGGTAACTTTTCTCTTTTTATCATTGATAAACTGCTTAAATAAAATATTTATGTAAATCTCAAAGTAAACATTTTCTAAGCCGGGCATGGTGGTGCACGCCTGTACTCCCAGCACTCGGGAGGCTGAGGCAGGAGGATTGCTGTGAGTTTGAGACCAGCCTGGGCTACATAGTGAGTTCCAGGTCAGTCTCAACTACATAGTTGAGACCCTGTCTCAAAAAACCAAGGGGGAAAAAATTTCTAACTATATTTAGATGCTTAAATTCCACAATGTTGAAATGGTACACATAGGTCTCACTACATGGGTATCTGCAAAGCTAGGGAATATTTTACACCAGAATTTAGGGTTGTCTTTTTTGAAGTTTATGCTCTTTCCAAAGTCATAAAGACTACAGTTGGAACCAATGCTCCTTGGATGTAAGAAAGTTTACATCTGGGGAATACTACGCATATCACACATGTGCAGAGGAAAATTCTCTCTACTCTAGGACAGTCCTTTCTAATAACTGAATTTACACTTGTATATCCAAGTGCTTTCCGTCCTCCAGAAAGTCCTAAATACTTACCTTCATCTGCCCTATTAATTTCATGTTCAGGAAGCCTGGAACAGCTGGGTCTGGAAGGTGAACCCACAGATGGCTGCAATGAAGGAAGTTCATCAACATCTCTCAAATTAGCAAGCATATCTTGTAGTTTTGACCTATTGGGCCCTACCCAAAAAAAAGGGAAGAAGGGGGGAGAAAGAGAGGAAAATAGAATTATCCAACTGCATCAAAATGGTGCTTATTTTACATCAGCTATGTTTACCTTTAAATATATCCTAGCCCATTGATTAATAAGAAGCATATTCCATTTTCAAATTATTTTAAAGTTGATTATTTCCTTAAAAGAACTGTATTTTACATTTTTTAATAAATTAAGCAAATGGTATCATTATTTGCATGAAAAAGAATACACATATCTTACTTGAATCACTAAAAGTCATATTACTCTATAATCCAATCATTGAATAGTGTTCTAAATGAAGACAGAAACGATAGATTGTGAACCTACTGTATACTTAATTAAACAGTAATATCCCTGATTAAGTTGCATTCATTCCTTACATCCTGAAGCTATGACACCCAAGGTGAGATCTCATGCCCTATCAATTACTTACCTGAGCTTTGATTCTTCATTCTCCCACATCCCTGTTTTGACTGTTTTATATAGGATAGAGGCTGAAACAGATCTTCGGTAGTTTTTCCTGTTATAAGTTTAATTAAGAATGGGAAAAATCTTACCCATAGTCCATTATGTTTTTTTTCCCTACACCAGCAAAGAATACAGCAGCTATTTCTAAACAATTTTAACTAATACTTAGAATTATAGTTTATGAAAGATAGTACACAATTTGACTGGAAATATTTCTATACTAATTTAAAAAACACAATATTTTCCAATGACTAAGTTCAATTAAAAATATGTAGGTATGATAACTTATAAATTAATGTTTTAGATATCAATTTAAAGTATTACTTCAGTTCTCTTTTCAATCGTACATTTTAACTTGTTTCCCTACTGCTATTTTACACAGATATCAGGAACTAAAAATGACTAAAAATGAACTAAAAGTACACTTAGCTTCTGTCTACATTCCTTCTATTTTCACTGAAAGACATTAAAATTTCTAGCCCGGAGAGTCATTTTCTTCACTGTACTAAAAAAAAAATGACATGCCATACACCTGAACAAAGATCATAATTCAGGATGCAGGAAATCCAACTGCTTGTAGTAGTAGGAATAGTATTCCAGTCAAATGGTGCAGTTTTAGATCTTAAGAGCTAAATTCCAACTACAGCTATGTATCAGTATTTGATAAGAACTGATAACCAATACAGTAATAGAAGATGGATTTATATAAACCCTGGCTATCTTCCCAATCAAAAGATCTTTACATTTCAAGGTACTCATATTTATAACATAGTGACCTAAAGAAACATATCAATGTTAACTTAATCTGGAAATGATTCTTCATGTATGACATACAGATTTTCCCCAAAAATTTCAGTTTAACTGGTTTGGTTTTAGAGTCATGACTACTCCAGAAAGCCATGACATATCTTCTCTTAGTACATTTTTTAGGATTAAAATTTTTATCAGTGAATAAAATATATAAAATGTTTCCATGTTTTAATATTAAATCTTTCTCATGATTTAATCTACATGGATAGCACCAAATGATATCATTTCATAGTAATTGTTGAGAATATGCAAACATTAATAATGGACACTGACTTTTTATTGAATCAAGCTAAACATTTATAAATTCTAAGATATTTTAAATAAACATTTTAATGTTTTTAAGAACTGCCAGGTTGTAAAATAATGTCCTAACAGGTATAACTGATCTCTGACAAGTTTGAGAAACTTCAAAAAGAGAAGGGGAAAGGGAGCATATCTCTTGCAATTTATAAATTTATTTCTCAGTTTAGATTTCAATCTTATTTTATACTATTTTCATATCTTGATGATATTGCTATTGCTTTAAAAGGAAGGTCCATGTTTATATTATTAGTGACAGTGGAAACATGAAGAAGTTGTTTAGAGTTGCACTTCTAAAACTGTGGAAAATTCTTTTTAGGGATGTCTTGAAAGTTTTGCATTTCCATTTTACATGCTTAACTAAGTATAAACTTTTCATTTGTGTAATGTGTTATATGATTCACAGGGCTAGAAATTTCATTTGGCTTGTTTTTGATGTGGCACATTTTATTGAAAAAAGGTAAGTGGAAGTACTGTCATAAATTAAATTGGCCAAAATTTTTAAATTAGAAAGCAAATACTTTTAAAAGTTATGTACTTGACACTCTGCCCTGTATAGCATATAGTGATGAGGGCAAATGAATTGTGCGTTGTAAACATGTAGAATATTCAGAGGTAGAAATTAACTTCTTTTTGTCTCCAAGACCTAAAATTATACACAATGATTTTTGTGGATTGTCAGAGGGCCACACTAGCTAAGATTTATAAATTGTCACTAGATATAAACATCATTGTAATTGAGGATATATATATATATATATTTTTTTTTTAAATGAACACTGAGCAGTATATTTGAATACATAGCCCAACAGCCTCATAAGGCTTTAAATATGTTATTGGGAAATATAGATTTTGTTTAAGTTCATAATCAAATGCTATTTAATTTCAACCCCTGAGAGCAAGTGAAAAAGCAAAAATTGAGGAGCAGAAATGAAAAAGAGTAAGTAGTTTTAGGAAAACATTGGAAAAAAAACTTGGGAGGTAATAAAAGAGATGAGATTTATGATTTACAGATACAATGTTTTCCACTTACTCTTCACCCCCTTTTTCCCCTTTCTCTCCTTTTTGTATTGTTCCTTGAGTTTGGTAATTACTCCCTGGTCCACATTCCAGGCTTCAGGCATGAGACACTGGTCTTCCTTTTCTAAACAGAGTGAAACAAATAAAAACAGCCTTTTTCAATAAAATATCGAACACACTAACACGTCTGAAAGATACAACAATGATTTTCTTCACAGCATCACTAGCTAAAAATGTCGTTATTTATCAGATCTATAAATCACACAAAATAACAGGTAAGAAAAAAGCCATCATCAGATATATGAATAACATAAAAATAAAACTAAGAAGAAATGATCATGTTCCTGATTAATATATTTGTCTTGAAAGAGACATAAAAACCTAGAAACAATTTCAATGACTTTGCATAAATTAAACTCAAACACTTTTAAGGAATCTCTCATTTTCTAAATTCTATTAGTAAAACTCACAAAAAACCCTTCATACTAATTTATGTGATGAGAAAAGATTACTAAGAGATAATAGCCTCAAATAATCTTTTCATTTAAAGTGTTTTATACTTTTGATGCGTGTTCATCAACAAATGGTCATTTTTATTTTACTGGTTTTATAAATAGCATTGTGCAAATCCTAATCAACCCTCCATTAAAATTTATAGCAATTCAAATGAGTTTATAAGGAAATCCAATAATCATTATTTCAGAAAAAATATTTTATATGTACTATAAAATAATATGCTTTGTAATGTTATACACATGTTAGCTCAAAACACTAGTTTAAAAATAAGATTTGAATATCCAACTGCTTACTCAACATGTCCACTGAGAAGTCTAATATCGTAGGTACCTCAAAACTAAACATGCAAGGGCCGAAGATGTAGCTCAGTGGCACCGCACCTGCCTGGCAAACACAAGGTCCTGAGTTCGATCCTCAATACCAGGGGACAAACATGCGAAATCAAATTCCAAATCTCCTTCCCCATCTAACCTTCCATCTAACAGGGTTCTGTGATTCTATATCTCCATTTGCTCAGAACAAAAATCCCTTTCAGTCCCATTCCTCATCAAACACTTTAGGAACACTTTCTCAATGTTCAAAACTCATCCAGAATCTGATTTCTCAGTGTATCAACAACCTCTCTGACTACAATGACCTCTTGCTAGAACTGCTGCAGTAGTTACTGCCCCTCCCATCACAAGTCTATTATCAACAGTTCTCCAAGGGCAGGGGATGCAGCTCAGTGGCGTCATGCCTGCCTAGCAAGTATAAGGTCCTGAGTTCGATTCCTGGTATGGGGTGGGGTGCAGTTCTCTGGGTAGTCTGTTCTCAGCAGAGCAGCTAGAGCACTGTTCCTTCACATGTCTCCCTAACTCCCCATGATAAACATGCCCTTCGTGATCTAGTCATGGCTTACTCAGCCCCTAAAATCAAGCTGCTCCAACCACTCTGGCTTTCTTGACTCTCTTAGGCATGCCAGGGCATGCTTAGGGCATCTGCTTTGACTTTCTTCTTCCTAAATACTTTTGTCTTCCTCAGATAATATATGGCCAATTAAGTCTTTCACTTAAAGGCTACCCTCAGTGGGATTCACTATGGCCACCCTATATTACATTGTAACCTGCCCTTGCCACCTCAGGCTTTCCCCTTCTCCCTTGCCCCATTCTACTTTTTCTATTTTCCATAGCATTTATCACCCTCTGACACGCTATATCATTTATTATAGTTACTGCATATTGTCTAGTTAGTAGACTACTGCCTCTTAGTAGACTTTAAACAAAAGACCAGAAATCTTCACCTAGAAAACTTGGCACATAGAAAGGACTTGATCAATATTTGGTAAATGAATGTTAGAATTAAATGAAATGAGTCAGAATAAGCAGATACCCTTTTTTTTTTAAAACAATTTAGGTTTTAATACAGTACAGAAAACTACTTTTGGTGTTGTTTTTTTTAAACTTTTGAATATAACACTATTAAAAACAATTTTTAAAAACACAGTGGGGCAGGCCAGGGGTTTAGCTTAGTGGGGCTGCTGCCTGACTCGCAAGCGCAAGGTCCCAAGTTCGATCCCCATTACCAAAAAAATAAAAAATAAAAATACAGCTAGGTATGGTGGCATATGCCTGTAATCCCAGCTCTTGGGAGGATCACAAGCTCAAGGCCAGCCAGAACTATATAGTGAGATACTGTCACAAAGCCAAACCAAACCAAACCCTCAATATTTTAATATACCAGCTGAGGATTTGGCTCAGAGGTTCCGCCACCTGCCTCGCAAGTGCAAGGGCCTGAGTTCAATCCTTGGTTTAAAAAAAAAAAATTAATATATCTAATTATATATAATCTACAATAGTAAGAAACCTACTTTCTGGAAGGACTTAACAATTAAAAGTGTTAGTTTTCACCAACCAGGTCTTAATAATACATTAAACAAGGTGGCTCTGGATCCTGGAATGTTTTTTGAAGCAAAAAGTTGACTTTATCATAATCAAAATCAGAACAGACCTGTAACATTAGCAATGGAAGCTATTAGCAAAATTTACCTATTTATTTGCCAGAAACTAGCCAGACTCTTACTGAAGCATTCTCACTCTTTTTTTGAGAGGGTGGAATGAACAAGAAATAGACGGAGCACATAAAATAGTTTAAATGTTCATTCAACTAAAAATTTGCAATGTAGTTCTGTGAATTTGTTTAAAGTTCAGGGCTTTAAATATAAATTATACAATCATTAAAACACAAAAGGCCAAATTTCTGATAAAGAAACTTCCAGTTAATTGACAGCTGTTTACAATTCTTTTACTAGCGGTGTTGGTGCCTAAAATTCCTGAGTAACTTAATATAAACACTCAGTAGAGAACAAGACAGAAGAGAGACCTATTGCCCTTTAACTTCTTGGTTTCCTGATTTTGTTCTCTTGAAACCAGTCACTAGGCAGCCACTGTAAAAACAAACCAAAAACAAAATAAAACCAACCTAGAAAGCCATTGTATTCTTTGTATCTTTTAGTGTAATTATCTCAAAAAAGTTTTTGAGTATACTTATACTCAACAAAAAAAGGAAAAGTAACAGCACTGGAGCCATGACAGTCTCTGAGGGTAACATCTCAAAGACTTAACCTTATGTACTAATATCAAATCGAAATGACTTAGGGAAAATGTGCTATGGTTGTCAGTTATCCTTGTCAATGTTATCACTGTGACAGAATATTAGATTTTAATGATTCTTAAATCACCTACCAACTGGCTTAGAAAGTATTTTCAAATGACTTCAAGAATAGTAAAAATTCAGCTGCATTTAGAGGTACAGTCAGTTCCTTCCTCTCATGAGAAGTTCCAATATAAGCAAAATAATAGTACCTTTCACTAGGGACTTGCTTAACATCTCAACAGGAAAAGTCATTACAAAATTTAACAAATACCTCTAATGTTATAATGATTTCTAGTAAGAAAGGGCAGCTGAAGCCTACCCTGAATGCAAAAGAGAAAAATCAATCAAAATATCTACCTCTTCCAATTCTGTGCTACTGAGATTGTTCAAAACTTACAAAGAAAGAACATTTGTTTCCTTGAGGTGACCACAAAAGAATTTTCATTGCACAGTGCTTCAGTTGTGGAAAAAGTACAAAAACATAGTTGTTGGTATATTAAAATATTAGGCAACATTTCCCCTGAACTTGCCCAAGTGTCTTTTTATCTATCACTACATGAACAAGCATTTGTGGAGTAAAAATCTGACTTAAAATTTTTAACACAAGTTAAAAAAGGAAAATGAATCTGATTTTTTCCTATGACTTTAGAATTCTTTTATATTTCCTTTAGAGAAGAAATACATAAAAATTAAGGTTTAAATCCGTATTTTTAAATTTGTATACAATTTGTGTTCTAATTCTTCAGTATATATTGATATCAATATTTAAAATTGCTGTTTGAATAAAAGCAAATAAACCATCTACATAATAATTCTCAAAAACAATTCTATCATAATTATAGCTACTTTTATCTTTATGAACAAAATAATAACTTAAAGGAAGATCTATTTCTTTTTTTTTTGGTACCAGGGATCGAACTCAGGACCTTGCACTAAAGAGGCAGGCATGGTCCCACTGAGCTAAATCCCAAACTGGAACATCTATTTCAAATAAGAAACCCCTGGTTCCTTTTTTTTTTTTTCTCCCACTCAACCCTGGGGATTGAACCCAGGGCCTTTACATTGGGCTGCATCCCCAACACTTTTTTTTTTATTTTTTTTATTTTGAGACAGAATCTCTCTAAGTTGCTAAATTGCCCACACTGTACTTGAACTTGCAATGCTCTTGTCTCTGCTTCCCAGAGTGCTGGAATTACAGGCATGTACCATCATGCCTAGCTCCACTGATTCAGCTTTTGAGAAGACTGAGAGGAAATTTTTAGAAGGATGAACCTAAAATAATATTAAAATAATTAGCAACATTACATTCTTTCAATCAAATACTTGTATAAATATTAGATCCTCCCTCCTTTTCTCTTATTCACTGACAATATACATACATCAGATAAAACAAATCACTTTTAAAGAATTTATCACAATCTTACTGTACTGACAATAAAAATGCATTTTCAATCTAGTAGAATGAACGATATGTTATAAGACATTTTCCCAAAGTACTTTGTTTTAAACTTTTATTAGAAGTTTAAAATATCAGATTCATTTAGAGCAATGTGAGAGAAGAAAAAAACTATTCCTATACAATTGTCAAAACCAGAACTGGAATGAATAACTACTATATTCTAACATACTTTTTGCACAGAAGATGCCAGAGATCTCCAAAACCCTCTACTACTTTTATATACACTTTCCATAAAAACATAATCTGCAGTTGAACTGTTGAGCAGTAAATAAAACAGTCACATATTTTAATTTAAACTCTTTTCATAATCTATTACACATGTTTAAAAAAAAACAAAACAGTAGTGTCGCACACCTGTAATCCCAGCACTTGGGAGGCTGAGGCAGGAGGACTGCCAAGAGTTCAACGTCAACCTAACCTACACAGTAAGACCCTGTCAACAAAACAAAACAGATGAACTAACAACTTAGACATACTCCTGGATAAATATATGATATAGTAAAAATTCATTAGGTGCTCAATATTCCAACATCACAGCTCTAGAAGACACTGTCATTCTGGCAAAATATTAATTTCTTTTATCTCTGGATGAACCCAGTATGCTTCCTTACCCCAATCTATTCCATCACCTGCACTTCTAGATTCATTGTCTCCTTCTTCTGATGTAACCAAAAAGTCAAATTCCTTCAGGGCTTCTTTTGTAGCTCGATCTTCACTACTATCAGGCAACACTTTTTTCCTAACAATCTAAGAAAAAAACATGTTAAGTTAAAATATTAGAAAATATTATAGATTTCACTTTAAAATGAAAACAGAACATCTTTACCATTAAATAAGAAAGACAATTCAAGTTTTTCAGAAAGTGTGTGTGTGTGTGTGTGTGTGTGTGTGTGTGTGTGTGTATATATATATATATATATATATATATATATCTTTGTATCAAATTAAATGTACTACCTAACTCAATGAAAAAAGTATTATTTTTTAAAAGACACACATTATAAATTGTAAAGTAGTAATTTATTTTTTCTTTGTTTGTGAGACAGGGTCTCACCATGTAGTTCAGGATGGCCTTTAACTCTTTAACTCATTATGTAGCCCATGCTGGCCTGGAACTCTCAGCAGTCCTCCTGCCTCAGCTTCCCAGAGTGCTGGGATTACAGGTGTGTACCACCACATCCTGCTCTGACTTACTTGTCATAAATAAAGGAAATATAAAATGAAATCACCAGAATACATGACATGTATTTGTATCATAGGTAGATGAAAAACTTCCCTGACACACTACAAGAACCACAACCAAATCTTATATTTTTGTGCATATCTTAGAAATCTGTACAATTTGCTGGCATTCTAATCTGCATCAAAGAGAATACATGTCATAAAATACAACAGTTTTTCAAAATATAATCATGATGGCTTTTAATATGAGATCACACTCTCACAAAACCTAACATCAGAAAAACTATATACTTGGAAACATTTGCCTGAAGACTTACAAGGCACTATTTCGAGTCAGGCAGAGGCACCACTGAGCTAAATCCCCAGCCCAAGGCACTATTTCTATTGCCCTAACCCTGTATTAGCTTTCTCCAATTGCTCCTTATATATCAATTTTATCCACTAAAATAGTGATCTTTTAAACTGATACAAGAGATTTAACAGCAAATATGATATGGCTGTTATGGCTCAATTTTATATTTTTAGAAATATGTTATTACAAATACAGTTAGAGGGTTAAAACCAAAAACCTAAGGTATGCAGAATCATTTTTGAGACCAAAATGCCAATTCTCTTGATGAATTATATCTTTTCTTGGTCAACTCAGTCAGTGTAAACCCAAAGAAATTACAATAATTGGTTTGCATCTTCTTTCAGTAAAATGTGTCAATATTTCAACTTCTCCAGACCTCACCCTCGTTTTACATGAAACAAAAAAAAGCATGATCTGATCAAAGTTATCCATGAACTGTTTGAATGACTTAAAATTATAACAGATCAATGGGGAAGACCAGAGTCCAAAATGGACACTAAGAGATAACAAACACCTGACTTATCTGACCCTGTTCTCGTTCACATATTTGGTTATCACTTATCAATCACAGCACTTTTCATCAAAGATGACATATAGACTGTTGTGGTGCAGGCCTCCAATCCCAGCACTCAGGAGGCAAAGGCAGGAGGCTCACTGAGAGTTCAAGGCCTGCTGGACTACACAGTCACTTCAAGACCAGTATGAGCTGCACAGCAAGATCCTGTCTAAAAAAACAACAACAAACAAACAAAATAAAACAAAACAAGACATGCAGGCTCAGAAATTTTCTTCAACACAGTACTGGAGGAAGCCACTACTGATGGATCACAGCTATCATCAAAGATAAAATTCATCTTAACTGCCCTGACATATGTCCTGAATAGGACAAATCAAGGGTTATTTAATGATGCTAGAATAAATGGTTTAACTAATTGAACTATTTCACTAAAATCAGGAAATACTTCTATGCCTACAATAGTTCCTGGTGTAACATTTAGCAAATCTATTTTTTAAAAAGTGAGTATGACAGAAACCCCATACATACTGAATGTGTATTGTTTTGTAAGTACTCACAAAATATATCAACCTCAAAAAATAAAACAATACACAAAAATCCCACATCATTCTCTTCTAATTTTCCCTGAGTAGCCAGACTAAGGTACAAAATATCTCTTAAGAGTTATACCAGTTGGACTCTTTAATCTTCCTCCATACAAATATACTGCCTACTTCACCTTCTTTTATCTCAGAAGCTTGATCCCTTCTTCTCCTTGACCCTAAGGGCGCCAGCTGTATGTGTAGGGGCTATCACTAACATCTTGTAGATGAAGAGTCCTTACTCTCACTGCCTGACAAAGAAGGCAGAGAAAAACCCAGAGCTATCTGGAATTTCAAATTAAAAGTCTGAAACAGACATTAATTCTTACCAAATACATTATTAAGACACAAAAGTGGGCCAGGGATTTAGCTCAGTGGTTCCACCACCTGCCTCACAAGTGACAAGGACCTGAGTTCAATCCCTGTACCAAAACAAAACAAAAAACACAAGATGCAAAAGTAACTCCATAAAGAAAAAAGTCTGTTTCTTGGTAACGTTGTACAAAATGAAGATAAACAGTAAGTTTGTCCCTGCAAACCACTGTCTATCAAGTATCACTTTTTTTTTTTTTTGGTAATACTGAGGACTGAACTCAGGGCCTTTGTGCTAAGCTACACCTTCAGTGCTTCTTCTTCTTCTTCTTCTTCTTTTTTTTTCTCTGAGATAAGTAACCAAATTGCTTAAACTGAGCTTAAATTTGTGATCTTCCTGCTTCAGCGTCCCACAGTGGTAGGATTAGAGGTGTGCACCACTATACCTAGCTAAGTACATTATATTTTAAGTAAATACATGAAAAGTTCTGTGTTTTTAAAATTTAGGCACAGAAGAAAAACAAACTATGGTTACCAAGGGAGGGTAGAATCAGTAAATTAGAAGGATAAAGTTTGTGATGATAAGGCATGTATTACTTTTCTTCCTTTTATAGAAGGTTCTACTTCACTCCTATTTTTAATGAGTTCATGAATCAGCCAAGAAAATTAAGACAAAAACAAGTAAGTTTATGGGCTGCACAGGGTGTCATAGAAAAAAAGAGTGTCACTTTGAAAACCATTAAAAGCACAGTATAAATGGGAAGGAGATTCTTTGTACTGTGACTAAAATAATAATGATTCTTAATTCCATTAATTTTTCTTCCTAAAGTTCTTGAATGTGGAGACTAATTACTGCTGTGAAGTTATCTTTCATGCAGTTTGAAAGTGATCACTTTTGGGATTTTTTGCATGTATACAGTAATTTCAAGACCCTTCTTAGACTGAACCAATAAGAACACTGATGATGGTAAAGCACCATGTGAAGAAGTTAACTGTGAAGAAAGAGAAGATGCAGAGGAGGAAAATAACCTAGAATGTAATTCAAGGAACAAATTCAAGGAGGACAAAGAGAAAGGAGAAAACAAGTGGCTTTGCAAACACTGCACCATACACACAACCAGCAGTTACTAAGAGCTTTGTTCTGTATTTCCTTAATTCAGTCCACTAAATTGTTTTGACTAATGAAATAAAACAACAATCTTAGAATCTGGATGTTATATTAACATTTTAGCAGTTAATTTTCAACCATTCTCTCCAAAATGCCATAAATTTTCCAAGTCATGCTTATTCACTGCTACACGGTTAGATTTTAAAAATCCTTTTGGCATGTAGCTAAAGTATTAGACTAAAACTGTGAAAATTAAGGGAACATAACACCTAACTTAACAAAACTTAAACCCAGTTATTTGTTTAGAAATATGAATTTTTTCCTGAAAAACTAGTAGATTTTTACATTCAGAAAGTGAACAGATTCAGCATTATATCAGACGTTCCTTCTCTGTATCGTTCCCAGAACTGCTGTGATCTGCATTAACTGGAGGACAGAATATTTATACACTGGATTACTTAAAATGAAACTAAATGGGGCCAGGGATTTAGCTCAGTGGTTCTGCCACCTACCTCGTAAGCATAAGGTTCCGAGTTCAAAAAAAATAGAAAATAAAACCAAATGATGGGGAATTAGAAAATCAAATGATTGTTACTGATAGGAATTTCTAGTCAAATCATTTAAAATAAGTTTCAGTAATCAGTTTATGGATTTTTAAAATATTTCAATTAATATAATCACTAATAAAGAAATTTATTGCACCATAATTAGAGCTATTTACCACTTAGCTATCAACAAAGTATTTAACTTCCAACAAAGTATGGAAAAAATATCTTAATACAAATCATTTCTATACAAATCACTAGGAGTTACACAATTTTCACATAATTAGGACAAAGAAAAAGTATTATAGAAAATTAAGGCTTTTACTACAATAAATTAAAACATGTTATTACTACTTGTTTAGAAAAATTTTGAGTGACTATGTGAAGTTCAAAGAATAATCATGGCGAGGCTGTAGCAGAACAGTGACCCAGAGAGAAAGTAATCTGGCAGTAATAATTTGAGTCTCTTATGCAGCCCAGGAAGCAAAGAGCATAAAAAACAGAAGTTACTCTTAGAAAGCACCTTTATAGTTGAACATATAATTTCTTTATCAGCTTTTGTGATAAGTTAGGTATATATTCATTATAATCCTCATTTTACAAATGAAAAAATTAAGCCTGAAGTATGAGAAACACAATTAGTGGTAGTCAGCCTGATCTTACTTTACTTTCCTTCTTTGTATTCTCAAATGAAGGAGGAAATTCATTTTCAGATAGAAAGCAAAGCATGTCCTCAGCCTTTTAAAAAAAGGAGGAGCTGGCTGGGGATTTAGCTCAGTGGTGTCACAGCCTCACAAGTGCAAGGCCTGAATTCGATCCCCGGGACCAGAAAAAAAAAAAGAGGGGGAAAGAAGAGGTAGAACAAAGGGAGGACAGTGGAGACAAAGATAAAGGGATAGAGGGAAAGAGAGGAAGGAAAGAAAATGGAGACAGGAAGAGAAGGGTAACAGCAATTTAGAGACATCTCTTATTTCAGGAAACCGCTATGGGAAAGTCAACAAACTTTAAAGATTGAAAACAAATACAGAAGAATCCTTAAAAGTTTTGAAGAAATCGAACAGAAAAGTTCTGAAACTCTAGAACTTGTCTACCAAAGCAATCCTTTCAGACAAGGATCGATCAGAGGAAGTGAATTCCATCAGGCACCATGATATGTTAGTTCTACTGTCTTGCACCAAGCAGTAACACTGCATTGTTACAACACGATGCGTCTATTACAATTATCAGCTCTACAGATACGTCATGCATAATGAAGTGAGATTTTTTTTTTTTTAAAGAGAAAGCTAGTACTGTTGAATTTGAAATCAATACTGAAAAGACTTTCCAATTTTTCCAAATGTATGGGGTAAAAAAGTTAAGAATTTAGACTGTAGGACAGGGATTATTTTAAAAGTAGGCATTACAGTACCTAAAAATATATTACGAGTTATTTAACTTACCGTTGAAGTATCAATGACACTTTTATCTCTTCCATCAATGTCATCATCTTCATCTTCATCGCTGAAATCTGTGGCTGCATTTTCAAGGAATTTGAAATTATCCAGCACGGAGGCAGAATCTGTTAACTCGGATTTTCTGGTTTAAAACATGTACAACCTGTTTAGTTCACTTTTTATTAACCTCAACACTTTTTTTAATTTAAAAATTAACTCATGAAAATGTTTCACTGACTTCTCTTTATATTATAATATGATGGTCAAGTTATATTATGACTTTCATTGATTCTCATCTATTCTGTACATTAACTAAAACATCAACCTTAATGTATTTCTTTTTTTAAAATGGGGGGAATAAAAATGTATTTTTTAATTACTTTTGTTTCTCGTTTTCCTTTGTCTTTACACACTACTAAAATAACTAATAAAGATGTCATTTTTCTCTAATACAATCTTGAACCTGGGTGTGGTGGCACATGCCTGTAATCCCAGCACAGAGGCTGAGGCAGGAGGATCACTGTGAGTTCGAGACCAGCCTGGGCTACATAGTGAGTTCCACGTCAGTCTCAACTACATAGTGAGGCCCTGTCTCAAACCCCCACCCCCCAAAAACAAAAAACAATCTTGAATTTCTTGCTAAATAGCTAGAGGTAAAAAGAGCAAATGTATATAAAAAGTTTGCTAGTGTATTAGTAAAAACAACATACTATTCAGTATTAATACAAGGTTTGATTCTACTGGTGAATAAATCATCTTTTAGAAATGGCTGAATTTTCAAATATAATACTTGAATAAATTCCCTGAAGATAAATTTAGTAACAGTTTCCTCATAGTCAGAATACAATTTTTCTCCATCCCATTAGCATATGTTTTAGACAAGAAGATATCTTCCTGAAAACATATAGCCATAACTATAGACAGTATTTTAAAAACAGGTAAGTATAAATTTTGAATCTGCCGAGGATTATGTTTTTGGTTTTTTTCTTTCATTCTCCATCAACACAAAAAGTGAACAGATCCACAGTATCCCTCTCAGTTTCAAAATACTGATAAACACCAAAATATACACAATGGAACAGGTTTTTTTGTTTGTTTTTGGTTTTGTTTTTTTCAGAAAATCATTATAGGGCCGGGGATTTAGCTCAGTGGCTCGTAAGCACAAGGTCCCCAAGTTTGATCCCAGGTACTAAAAACAAACAAATGAACAGAAAGTCATTACTTAAGGTTTCTTTTTTTTTTTTTGGTACTAGGGATCAAACTTGGGACCTTGTGCTTGGCAAGGCAGGTGGTGGAATCAGAGCTAAATCCCTAGCCCATAAGGTTCCTTCCTTAAAAGCATTTTTTAAAAAAGGAAAAGCATACACATTATGGTCCCTAAAAATACATATATTATCTAGGTTAACTTAATGACTTAATTCATAAAGTAAACATAAAAACAGGAATAAAGCCCATATGATCTATGTTTCTAAAAAGAAAGACTACATTTTTATTTAAATACAAGTCAATGCATTCTTAAGTATTGCAAGAAGGCTCCAATAACATCTGTTTATAAAATTTCTACAGCTTGATCCTTTCACCTACTCCTATAATTTCAGTTCATGTCCTAAACAAGAGGAGCAATGTTCACAGTAGAAAATTATACAATTAAATTAAAACCATTCTTTCAGCCTAAAACATAGTTTAAAGTTAAATAATAAATTTGATTCCTGGTACTCCCCCTCCCAACAGAAAAATAAAATAAAACAAAAGAAAGAAAGTTAAATAACATTGAACTTAGACTTTCACAGAATCTTTGCCTTTATATTCAATTAATAATATAGCAATATTTTTCCAATAAAGAATCTTTTTAGTAAACTATTCATTTAAGAAAAATCATATATAATTGTAAAGGAAAATAAGATACTTCAAACAGCTATTGAAATTTTCAACTTAGTCTATCAATTAAAATGTATATACTCAACTTAGATATGTATTTTATATGTTATAGCATTATTATATAAATAAAACTGGCTAAGAAAAGGTTTACTTCTAAGCCAGGCATGGTGGTGAATGCCCATAATCTCACTACTCTTCACGACTGAGGCAGGAAGCTCAAGCTCACCCTGGGCAATTCAGGGAAACCCTGTCTTAAAATAAAGACTGGGGGATGTAGCGCAATACAAAGGCCCTAAGTCCAATCTTCAGTATCAAAAACAAAGCAAAACAACAAAAAAACTTATGTGTAAAGTATTTGAAGGTATATGTATAATTTCTGGGTCACCAATAACAAAATTTCATTTTTCTAGATTTGTACTGAATTTCAAAAGATCTCTCATTAGGTTCTGATAGTTGACTCAGCAACAAGATATTAAAATTCATATTAAATATATAAATTTAAAGCCAAACTATCCTAAATAAAAATTACATTCTTGAATTAAAATAATCATGAATAGTACTATCATTATATCTATTACCTTCTAAGAAAAACTTTAAAAATTTTATTAACCTTAACTGTAATTAAATTATTTCTGTATCATTGCCTGAAAGTATAACACCCCTGAAAACAGAAGTTACTAGAACTAAAGTTACAGCTGAAACACTTTGTACACAAAATACTTACCCAATCATTGCTGTCTCTTTAACTTCAGCTTCTGTGCCATTTATAACTGAGTCCTGATTTTTGTCATCTTCCCTGTCAGTGACATCACTTGAAAAGCCCAATAAAGCACGCACTCGTTTGGATTTAACATCTAGAATAGTATCAGTATAACCCACCTCCTGGAGATACCTGTATGAAGAAGATCCTTACAATTTAGTAATACAGGAATCAATATTCTAAAATTTACTAGTATGTAAATAAAAGTACTCATTTAGATTCATGCCTACATAAGGCTTAACAGTACCGTACTATGCTAGTAAGACTGGTTAATCATCTTCCAGCTGCAAATGGAGCTGTCTCTTGCAGTACCAGCCTCTACAGTCACTGAGAAAAATCAAAGAACTATACAATACGCCATTCAGTGCATTTACCCTAAGAAGAAACTGTTCCTTAACACAGTACATAGCACATTTTTTCCTTTAGGCAGGACTGGAGCAAGCTCATTCCCAAACTCTACTGAATTACGACTTTAGAATAGCAATGTCAGTAGTTTGTTTTTAACATTTCTAATATAAAGTTATAGATCAGCTGTTTGAGATCTAAAGAGAATGTTTCTAGTATATATGGCTTCCTCCATGACATACAGGATGGTATTTTTCCAAAAGTTACCTCTGTAGAAGAAAAACTTCTATTGTGAGACAAGTTTAAAATAAAAATAGATCAAAATTGAATTATGGGATGGGCTGGGGATTTAGCTGCCTGCTTCCCAAGCGCAAGGTCCAGAGTTTGATCCCCGGTACCAAAAAAAACAAAAATTCAATTGTGGGAAGTGGGTATGCATGTACATATACATGTGAGTTTATGTGCATGGAGAATGGAGAAGCAGCAGCAGAAAAAATAAAGAATATAAGCTTTGTACTAAGAGATCTTGGTACTAAACGCATTTCTGCTACTTACTTGCTGTATGACTTTGCTCCGTCCCTCTCTCTTCTTTCTTTCTTTTGTACTGGGGACTGAATAGGGGGGTTTTATACCAAGCTACATCCCAACCTGTTTTTTTATTTTGAGATAGGATCTCACTAAGTCATGCAGGCTGAGCTCAAACTTGTAGCTGGGATTATAGTTGTGCACCTCCACACTCAGCATACCTGCTGTATAACTTTAATTCTCTTAAATCTATTTTTGTTCTCAGAAAACAGATGCAAAAAAAAGAAAGAAAGAAAGAAAGAAAGAAAGAAAGAAAGAAAGAAAGAAAGAAAGAAAAAGAAAGAAAACAGATGCACCTGGCATTTAAAAAGCACTAAATACCACTCAACCCAAAAGTTAACTAAAAAAATTAAAGTGGAAGTGGCAGGACCATGACAAAAGAGAAATGCCACTGATAAACATGATAGAAAAAATGTTAGGCATTAACTCATATGTAGGCAGAGTCTTCTGGGTGAAAAACAAAAAAACAAAAAAAACAGGTTGACAAGCTAAGTTTAGATTCAATTTCTTTCATGATTTGGTTTTAATAGTTATTAAAGCTGAATAATATCTCACAAAGATACATCACCAAATGGAATAAGTGTGTCTTATCAAACCAAGATGCTCAGTTTTCAGTCTCATCAATTATGTATAAAAAGGTTTTGATTAAAATTTGAAATAAATTTCCAACTTTCCTAAACTTCTAAGTGTCCTATTTTCCTATTTTTAACAAATTGGCCTTATAATAAAACATAAATATGTATTGGTACAAATGTTACAATGAGAAGAATACATCTTCTCAATCTATAAAAATTCTATCATGGAAAAGAGTGTTTAATATGAAAAAGGAATAAAAATTCAATTAAGCTTCAGGGGCTGGGGACTTGGCTCAGTGGTTTCACCGCCTGCCTCGCAAGCACAAGGGCAAACGCGGGGGCCGGAGTTCAATCCCCGGTACCAAAAAAACAAAAAACAGTATTTGATGAAGGACTCTACATGTCAGAAACAACTAGCATTTTAGCTGAGCGTGGTGGCGCATGCCTGTGATCCCAGCACTTGGGAGGCTGAGGCAGGAGGATCACTGTGAGTTCAAGACCAGCCTGGGCTACATAGTGAGTTCCAGGTCAGTCTCATCTACATAGTGAGAACCTGTCTCAAAAAACAAAAGAAGAAATAAACAATTAAGCTTCTCCACAGCAGTTGTACAATAAAAGTTATACGTTGAAAATACAAAATAAAAGTGATCTCATGCAATTATGTTGGTTTCTTTCAACTATTTCTGAGTTTGACTTCTGGATACTTACTGTCGGAGTAGCTGTCGACCCTGTTTCCACATTAACTGGCTGTTCTGTTGTGGCTGCACTTCTGTTTCATTAGCTTCATCTGGAAAACATGAAATCAGAATTGCACTTATTTTACATTCGTAAAGGGCATCTCAAGTCTTTAAAAGTCTAATAAACATTTATGAGATGAAGAATATGTAAAACTATAGCTTTAAGGTATGTTTTAGGACAATGTAAATTGTTTAAGAAAATTCTAATATAAATTAACTACTGCTACTAAAATTCCCTTAGAGTAGCAGAAATAAAAGAAAATTTCCCTGTTTAACTGGTCTGAGAATATTCCTTCAGGACAAAGATCTATTCAATCAAGATGCACAGTAAAAGTGAAATACAAATATGTGAAGTGTCACAAAAGAATGAGAAGAAAGTATCTAAGAATGATAGTTAAAAATAAACTAGTTTGGTAAAGAGAAGATATATAAGAAATAATCTCCATTCAATTCTGCTTCCTTCACTAGCTATTAAATCAAAACTTCAAGTATTCATTCAATGACATTCTTTAAATGAAAACCTCTATGTTATTTAAAGTTTAAATTCATCATTAGATAAAAGCTGAATCCTTTCAAGGATTTATAAAAAGAGCTTTCCCAAGGTTAAGTCTGGACTAAAAAAACCTATCCAATGGCCCACTTTAACAATATAAAAAAAATTATACTTTTTACTAACCTTTGGCCAAACTATAAGAAACTTCTGAAAACTTTTTTAAAAAGAAACTACCAACCTTTATAAGATCTTATTCAAGTGAAGATAACAGCACTGAGAAATTTTATTTTGCTATATTTGCAATTAAGCATTTATTGCATGTTTACTATGTTCCTGACACTGTGTAAAAATCTATACATTACAATATCTTTTATTCCTTTCAATCTCAAAATATAGGTGTTTATTCCCATTTTAAAGATAACAAAATTCAGTTTTAGAAGATGTTATAGTGTATATCTGTATTCAGAAGGGTGAGCACAAACCCTCACAAGCTCACAGGTAGGGCTTTGCGAAGTGTCATCCTCATTGGTGGATTAGTCCACGGACGCGTTCATAGCTAAATGAGATACTGAGGTGAAGCCTGGCTGGAGGAAGTGAGTCGCTGGGGTGTGGTCTAAACGGGTATAAGTCTCCCTCCCTTTTCCCTTGATTCTCTCTCTGCCTCCTAATAACCATTCCATATGTAAGCCTCCTCTGCCATGTTCTTCTGCCATGCTGCCCTGCTTTGGAGCCAGCCAACTAGCACTGATTTCTGAAACCTCTACAAACTGTAAGCCATAATAAACTTTTCTTCTTTGGGTTTGCGGATACTGTATAGGATATCTCAGTAATGAGAAAGTAACCAAAATAGAGGCTAATTTTCAGATTTCTTAGAAATATAGTTTTAAATGTTGAAATCCTGCCTATTCACAGAATTTTCCTCTACATGCCATCACTACAATGACAGGAAATTGAGGCCAGGGATTTAGCTCAGTGGTTCTGCCACCTGCCTCGCAAGCACAAGGACCCAAGTTCAATCCCCGGTACCCCCCCCAAAAAGACAGGAAATTAAAGAAAATATGTGAATAAAAGTAAGAATTAGACTGTGCATGTCTGTTTTTCTCCTAAAATAATCAGATCAAGTTCTGAGATACTACCAGAAATAGTAGCAGAGCAATTGGGGTTGCGAGTAGAAGAAGGAAAATTAAAGAAATTAAATAAAAATTACTTCGTAATAACTTCAAAGACACTGTATTTTTTAAAAAGACAAAAACAATATCCCAGTAATAAGGAAAAATAATAAATCTTGTTTTTACTAACATACAATAATTCAGAAACTATGTTTACAACATAATATGTTCCATTATATACTGTACACTCAACTTACAAGAGTACATTTATAAGAATATTTGTACTAGCATTAAGACTAAAATTTCAGATATAAGCATAAAGACAGTACATTTTACTATATGTAAATTATACCTGAATAATAATAAATTAAGACAAATCAAATAAAAAATCTCTTGAAGTCATCAACTATCAGATTCATTCTTGCTTATCAAGTTCAAAGAGTAACATGAAAATGTGAGAATGTTTAAGTAGATAGCTTAGTTTCTTGATAACAATTAAAGTATTTAACTGCCACTGCTAGTCAAATATGAGTAAGAGGGTCTGGGTTTATTCTCTTTTCAAAATAAGTAGGAAACAAAATAGATAATACAGTGGTTTTCAAAACACTGGACATCAGACAAGAAAAGATAGTAATCCCTCAGAGGAAAAAAGAAAACAGATGAAACTCATGACTGTCCCTGCCACTGTCTTAGAAGAATATCCAGATCTTAGCACAGGGAGGGGGAACAAAAACAGTATCTAAAAAAATAATAGCTAGGGCCAAGCATTCAGCTCAGTGGTTCCACCGCCTGCCTTGCAAGTGCAAGGACCTGAGTTTGATCCCTGGTACCAAAAACACAATAATTAAAAAAAATAATAATAATAATGGCTAAAAGTTTCAAATTTCATGAAAATGGTAAAACCATAGATTAAGAAACTCAACCAACCTCCAAGCCTAAGAGACACTCTAGGGAGTGGTAATTACATTAAGATGTATCATAAAAAATATTTAGAATCAGTGATAAAGGGAAAAGCTTAAGGGCCGGGGATGTAGCTCAGTGGTGCTGCACCTGCCTGACAAGCTCAAGGTCCTGAGTTTGATCCCCGACTCAAAAAAAAAAAAAAAAAAAAAAAAAAAGAAAAAAAAAAAAATATA